CCTCAGGCATGCGATGCCAGCACTCTATCTGAGCCACCTTCACAGCCCCTGGAGACCATACTTGAAAAATAAGCAAATCAAAAAGGACTCAGGTGGTAGAGAGTATACGAGCAAGAAGTTCTGAATTCAAGGCCTACTACTGCCTAAATAAATGGAAAATGAAAGTTACTTATACTTACGTCAAACTGTTTGCTGTATAAAAACCATGTTAATCTCCAATTAATACTTTTTCCTTTGATATATTCCAAAGCATGAAGGACAACTGAAAACAAGAATGACTGTCTTTCAGGCAGTCACTCATGGTTCATGCCTGTAATCCTGCCTACTCAGGTGGCTGAGATCTGAGGATTACAGTTTGAAGGGTCAGGAAAGCCCTTGACATTCTTTTTTTTTTGGGGGGGGGGTCCGGTCGTGGGGCCTGAACTCTGGGCCTGGGTGCTGTCCCTCAGCTCTTCAGCTCAAGGCTAGTGCTCTACCACTTGAGCCACAGCACCACTTCTGGATTTTTTCTTTTTGTTTATGTGGTGCTGAGGAATTGAACCCAGGGCCTCATGCATGCAAGGCAAGCGCTCTACCACTGAGCCACCTTCCCAGCCCCAGCCCTTGACATTCTTTTTTTTTTGCCCTTGACATTCTTATCTCCAATTAACCTGCAAAAAGCTGGAAGTAGAGCTGTGGGTCAAGTGGTAGAACACCAGCCTTGAATGGACCAGTTAAGGGATGGCCTTAGGCCCAGAGTTCAAGCATCATTACTTTTGCAAAAACAAAAAACACAAAACAAAACAAAAACCTTCTTTGGGTGAAACAATGCTGAAGCATGCTCCCATGCTAAGGTCACCCACAATTAGCACACTCCATTTGTCACCAAGCATGTATAAACCATCTGCCATGGACCAGGAAGGATGCTAGATATTGGCAATGAATCACAGACCTGCAGGAGCAGTTTGCCCCACATAGCCACAATCAGCTGGAGGGGGAAAAAGCAATGAATGAATCTGGAAATAGCTGTAAAATGCCATCACTTAGGAAAATCATTTGTGGTTTTGAGCCTCTCCCTTCCTCGGCATCCAGGAGAACCGGTCCCATTGGTAAATTATGAAATTGAGCAAAATAATTTAAAAACTGCAATAGGTGTGTGTGTGTGTGTTGGTTCTGTCCCTGAGCTCTGTGTGTGTGTATGTGTGTGTGTGTGTGTGTGCCAAAACCGAGGCTTGAACTGAGGGCCTCAGGGCCTTGCTTGGCTTTTTCACTCAAGCCACAGCTTCATTTATGGCTTTTGGTGATAAGTTGGAAAATAACGTCTCTCAGATTTATCTGCATAGGCTGGCTTCGAACCACGATCCACAGATCTCAGTCTCCTGACTAGCCAGGGTTTTACAGACTTGCGCCATCAGCCAAGTTGTTTTTCCCAGAGAGTGGGAGGTGGGTCAGTAGATTAAATGTAGGGAAGATAACCGTTTCCAAGAGCCCACAAGCTGTGGCCGGGGAGGGGGCCTGGCCTCCATCCCCTCGGCCCCCTACCCAGGGCTGGGCGCTGGCCCGGGGTTCCTGGGGAAGGGGGGGTCTCGCGGCCTGCACCAGCACCTGGCCCTGGCCTGGGCCTCCCGGGGACCCAGCACGGAGAAGCCCGATCAGATCTCAGGCGACAGAGGGCGACACCGGCTCCTGGCGCGCAGCTCCGGCCTCCTTACCGGCTCCCACGGGGCGAGCCCCCCCCCC